AGGGCTTGCTGACGGTGCACGTGGTGGGGGTTCCACCAGGGTGACATCGTGCCCACGTCCAATCGATGGCTGCTGCTTAAGTACCTATTTTTATCTGTCAGTGGTATTTTTCCCCTTATGGCTCTTGCCCTTGATGCTGTGACTGTGCGTGTCTGGGGACCTCGCCTCCTCCTGGCTCTGAGGGAGCAGGCTGATGGACGTGGTGTCTCCCTATGAGAGCAGCACAGAGCTGCAGGATCAGCTGTGAGCTCACCACCACCATCACGTCAGCAAGGCCGGCAATTTCAAGGCTTGATCTTGTTCCTATAGAAACGGGAGGTTGTTCCTGCCTGGCACGGGTGCCAGCAGCCAGCCATGGGCAGGGAGCAGGGCAGTGGGGATGGGTGGGAGCAGGGTACGGCACAGTGCAGCGGTGCTGCCACTTCCCTTCCACATGCCTGGTAGATCTCTCTGCTTCCTCACTCTGTTYCTGCTTCTTGTTAGGGCCGTGCTGAGCCCCACACACTGCTTTTAACCCTCTTGAGACACCTGAAAACTGAAAGGAGTCCTTGGAGCAGTGGGTCTCATCTTCTGACCCCAAGAATCTTGGGCTTCTCCCCCACTGCCCSGCAATATGGGCTGTGCTGCTGTGGGCGGGTGAGGTGTCTCTTGGTGGGCTCACGTCTCCAAGAGAGGCCCTGGCACGGTGAGTGCCAGAGCAGCTCCTCTCTCTCCCGGCAGCAATCGGCAGCAGAGCTGGTGCGTCCCTCTGCCTCACCTGCCYGCCCTGTGCGGCTCTGTGCAGAAGGATGAGCGCAGGCCTCTGCAGAATACCTCATCCCTGGAGCAGGGGCCAAGTGTCAGCCATGGCACGKGTCCAGAGCAGCTCAGGGGACACCTGTGCCACCGCCCTGCTCTGTGCCCCGCACCAGGGCCCAAATGTGGCTCAGTGCTGCCCAGGCACCTGTCTGGGGCTGGTGCTGCCTGCGGGGGAGGAAGRTGCCCCAAAGAATCCCTGCTGAGATGAGCCCCTTGTAGCACATAGCAGCCCAGGAGCTCTGCTGTGCCAGAGCCCGTCCCTGGCCAAGCCGGCAGCAGGAGGCTGCTTCCCCCTGCCCTTGCGCTGCTGCCGGCTTTGTTCATCCTGGCAGTGACTCGCCTGTGCTCCCGGCCAGGGCCAGGTGCTGGCGCGGGGAGCTGCGGGCTGGGCCCCTTGGCCTCCTTTCCTCTGCTGCCTRAGCAYGGCACGGATATTTTAGGAGAAYCTGATAACACCATGCTCCTGTGTTSTCACCCCCTTCCTACCTGCCTGCTGAGATCCTGGCTCCTGTGGGASCTGCCTGGACAGGTGCGATGGGATGGCATATGCTCACTCTGTGCTGGGGGGCTGAGCAGCTCCATCCACCAGCACGGGATGCCTGCTCTGGGCTCCGGTGCTGCTCAGGTGGGTGCACAAGGCTGGAGCCCCAGCACTGACCCCCTGCACTGGCCAGGCTGTGAGAGCCTCAGCCTGTGCCTGCTGGAGAGGAAAGGGCTGAATCGTGCCCCAGCACTGTGCGGYTCCTTGGTGACTGCAGGGACTGAGGGTTCCCCATAGCCTGGCTGTGGAGGCTGCCTGGGCTCCGAGGTTGGGGCTCTGGGAGGTGCTCACTGCTCTTTGTCCAGGGAGTGGCCTCTGCTTGCGGGCGTGAGCTGGGTTTGGCCTGTGGGTCCCCATGGCACCGCCTGCCCCTCACCAGGTGGGAACCACCACGCTCAGACATGGGAGATGCAGGACYCGCTGCTGGCTGGGGAGTTGCCAAAGCTGGCGGGAAGATATATCCCACAGCGTGTGTTTGCAAGGAATGGGGAGGGGATGGGCCAGAGCTGCTGTCCCCAGCCCGTTCTGCCTCCTGGCARGCCCCTGAAGTCCATCTGTAGTCCCACACAGTGTGCGGGGGCGGGACGGGGCACAGCGGGGATGCTGCAGATCTCCAGCTTTGGGGATGGAGAGCGGGATGGTACCGGGCGGGGAGTGGGGCGGGGAGCGCAGCGCCCGTGGGCTCCGGCAGCCCCCGCTCCCCGCCTGTCCTTGTCACCGCGGGCAGGGACCCGGCGGGCGCGGGGGCTGGCCGGGGGCCGGGCTCTCCCCGCTCCCTCCTAGCAGCCGAGGAGTTAAAAACTCAGCCCGGGTGATGAATATGTAAGAGCAGAGCCCAGGCTGGAGCCGAGCATCTCCCGGGCTGCGGGCGCTGCCAGCGCTGCCGCCCGCTCCAGCCCCGAGCCGGGCGCACTGCGGAGGGACGGGACGGGACGGGGCRGTGCGGGGGTCCCCCCGCTGCCCCCCGCCGCCATGGGCCCCACCGGGCTCGGCATAACTTTCCTGACACTGCCCCTCGTCGTGCGAGCGGCCGCGGGAGGTGAGCTGCGCCCGGGCGGTGGGGCCGGGGGGTCCCGCGGGTGGAGGGACGGGGGCGCGGGGTTGGGGGGCTTGGGGGGCACTGCTTATTGCATTCCCTTCCCACGTGTCGAGGGGTGATGCGGACTGAGGGGTTTGGAACCGGGACTGGCGGACCTAATCTGTCCCAGGAGCTCTCTCCTGCCCTCCCACCACCCCTCTCCCCGCTGCTGGATGTCCCGAGCCGGGCTCGGGAGGTCTCAGCCCGCCTGGGGCTGTCTGTGCCGACAGAAGGTRGTCGGACCAGGGCTTTCTTGAGACATTGGGGTCTTGGTCTTCAGCCCATCCGCCCCACAGACCTGGACCACGGGGAAGCACCAGTGAGGACGAGATCTCCGGGAGAACGGGCGCTGCCGCCCCGGGCCGAGGCACTGGGTGCTCACCTGCATCCGGGCCAGGCTGGGGGTGCCCAGCGTTACCTTGGCTCGAGGGATGGTGCGTGCAGGATTTCCCAGGAATTCGGCTTCCCCTGGACYCCATGATCCCTGCTCTAGGAGCTGTCCGAGTCCTTCTTGCACTTGTCCCGCTCCCCGTTCTCCTCTGGGGCTGGTGGCTCCTGTACCACCGTGGCGAKAGCTGGGATGCGGTGCCGCAGGCTGGGGCCTGAGCCGCACAGGTGGAGGCGGGCAGGGCTGCCTTTGTCCCGCTGCTCCGAGCGGCTGTGGCTGGCACRAGAGCGTGGCTTGGCTGGCCTGCAGCCGGCCCGCTGGCATGGCCCCTCGGCCATCAGTGGGACCCTTGGCGTGGGCTGGCGATGGGCAACGCCAGGCTGCTCTGTGCCTCCTGCCAGGAGCAGAACAGGGAGCTGAGGAGGAAGGGCTGGCRCTGGATGGATGTGCAGACAGCAGAGCAGGAGCAGGGCGCCAGCTTTCTCGGCATCCCCTCGGTGTCCCTGCACCTGCTGCGCCAGCGTTGTCATCGAGCCTGTGGTCCCCACAGCCACCCGAGCGCTGGTGGGATCGGGCAGCTCTGGCTGGGGTGGCCCTGAGTGATGGGACCGAGCGCCATCCCCACAGCGTGGGCTGGGGCCTGCCCACCGCCCGCTGCTGCCGCCAGCCCGCCCGCGGGGACACCGGGGACACCGGAGCGCTGCTCCCCTCGGCTTCTGCTCGCCCGCGGCTGCTGGGCACCGCCGGGCATCTGCCGTGGGGTCAGGGGCAGGATGGGCAAGGGGGGATGGCCCCACAGGAGCTGGGGAAGGCACACAGCGAGCAGTGAGGTTTGGCTGCCTTGGAGCAGCGATACTGAGGGAGGTTTCCCTGTGGAGCGTCTGGGGGAGGCAGGGAGGGTGTGAAAACACCAGAGCCAAAAATAACCGTGATGAACACAAGTGTTGGCGGGACCCCGGGCTGCACTGAGGGATGTCCTCATTGTTGGGGGGCTGGGMACGGCTGCAGGTGGGTTTGGGGAGGGGTGCCTGTCTCCATCACCTGCCCTGAGCTCTCCTTTCTCCTGCAGGCCAGTGGTGTTACGACTCACAGGATCCCCAGTGCGGTGAGTGGTGCCAAGTTTGGGGGTGTTGGGGCTGTGCAGGGCTCAGACCCTCAGTGCCTGGCTGAGGGCACCCTGGGCAGCAACAGCAAGGCCCAGTGTGGAGCATGGCATGGAAAAGGGCAAATCCCCCAGTGTCAGACCGAGGTGGCAATGGTTAGAGGAGCTCCACTTCTGGGGGTGCTGCTGTAGAGCCCTGACAAACACCTGAGCCCCTCGGAGCAACTCAGCCCCACCACTCACCTCAGCTAGGTCTGGGTGCTCCTGGGGCAGCACCAGCTTTCCCCCTTCCACCTGAAACAAATGAAGTCCGGGTTTTAAAATATGGTACTAGAAACYCAGTGCAGTGCAGCTGTGAGGGGCACTGGGGGCCCAGGGCCCGATGAGGAGGGACAGCTCCCTCTGAGCAGGAGGCAGCCCCGCCTGCCTGGGGAGAGAAGTGTGGCTGGGGGCACTTTGYCTCAAAACATACAAATAAAATTACAAATAGCTTGTAAAAGGTTAATTAAAGATCATCAAGCATTTAATCAGCTGTTACGGCCCAAGTGTTTTATAGCTCTTGAGTTTACATGCCCTGTGGCTTGTGAGCGTGGATGRCTGGGCTCTGTTCATCCCTGGCCGAGCGGGGCTCGGTCTTACCCGGTTTAGCGCTGCCGGGGGGTGGTGAGGACAGGTTTGGGCAGGGCAGAGGGGCCGGTGGGAAGCGGCTGGAGCAGCGTGGAGCCGGCTGTGTGCCTGYAGCCGAGCCGTGCGGAATGGCCCCTTAATGAAGGCACCGGGTAATCTGTGGGGACACCCGGTTACACCGTGCCAGCAGGCTGGTGGGATGGTGGCATGGCCAGGCTGCAGCTCCCAGGGCTTCCAGGAAAAAAGTTGGCTGAATTATTAAGAGGAGAACATGAAGGGTAAAGGCTGAGCCCAGGAGGGCAGAAGGTGGGATTCAGCCCACAAGTGTCTGTGGTTTTTTCTGCCTGAGAGGAAGGTAAACGTCAGAGCTGAACCATGGGGCACTGCTGGGGAACATTTCCTCAAACYCTGGCTGTAGGCAAAGGCAGCCCAGGCATAACTGTGCGAGAAGAGCCTGCTTAGGGATGTGCTGAGCTCCCCTGGGAATGGAGATGCCCTGGGAGGACAAGGCTGGAAACACTGAGGGAGCTCCTGTTCCCCAGCTGGGACTGAGCCCAGACATTGGCAGTGCCCAGTGCTGACACTCYACCCTGGGCTGCACCAGGACAAAGAGTGGCGTGCCATGGCAGCCACAGTGGACCAGTGACCAGCAGGGTGGCTGGCTACATCCTACAGCTGAGGGTTGCAACAAGTGTTGTTGCAAGAAGAAATGATGATGAGGCGATGGGGACAAACCACATATAGGGGCTGGTTGTGTGGTGTGGCCATGGTGGCGGCTGTAGGARCCCTGCTCACAGCCCTCGGGCAGCACTGAGGATTTGCAGGGGGTCCAGTTGGCTGCCAGCACTCCTGTGTGCTCACCCAGCTCCTGCCATGGTGCCCTCCCACSCCAGGAGCTGCTGATGGGCATTGTGTGGTCACACTGGAACCTGTGTGGGATTTGCCCCAGGATGAGTTGTGTGGCCAGGTTGCACTGTCACCTGTCACAGACAGACGGAACCAGCGTGAGTAGGTTAAACATGCTAAAACCCAGGAACGGGCAGAAGGGGCAGGGAGAAAAGCCTGCCYTTCACCAGGATCAGTGTGGACGCTGCTGCCAGGCTAAATATAGCCCCCAGCCCCTCGAGGAAATCCTGCTGAATTATGGATGAGGCTGTAATAAGCCCCTGCTCATCAATAGGATGGAAACTTAGCCAGGCAGGAGAGCAGTACCCATGGGATGCAAGAGAGCACGGSCAGGTTGGCAGGGACTGGTTGGGGACACAGACACCCGTGGCCTTGTGTCCCCCCCGGGGGCAGCAGTGGCTTGGTGGCTGCCCGTGCTGCCCCTGCTCCTCCTCYGCAGGGCCCAGCCACTGGAAGGAGCTGAAAGCCACGTGCGGTGGTGACAAGCAGTCCCCCGTGAACATCGACAGGCGCCGGCTGCAGCGGGATGGTGGCCTCGGGGACATCCTCTTCGAGGGTTACGACCAGGCTCCCCCYGGCAAGTGGAGGCTGACAAACAACGGGCACACAGGTGGGTGCTGAAGCTGGGCCCTGCCCTGTCCCAGCTCCCCAGTCACCATCCTGASCCTGCCACTCCCGGGTGCTGCAGGATCCCACCAAGCTCCTGCCTGGTGTGTCTCTGTTAGTGCTGGGTTGAAGCTGGGGAAGAAGGAGCTGCTGCCAGGGCTGTTCCCCATCCTAAGCCCCCTCCTCACCCTGTCCTGCTGCCCTTGCAGTGATGCTGAACCTGGCAAGTGAGTCGGCCTCTGAGCACATCACCATCAGTGGTGGGGGCCTCCCCGGCAGGTACCGCGCGATCCAGCTCCACTTCCACTGGGGCAGCCTGGCTGGGAATGGTTCTGAGCACACCCTCGATGGGCGTCAGCTCCCCATGGAGGTACGTGAGAAACAGCTCCCATCACATTCTGGGTCACCCAAGCCCTTGAGGGAGGGGGAAGGGGTGATGCTGGGACACCTCAGGCTGTCACATAGTGGGTGACTGRACACTGCACTGGTGAGTTAAACCGTGCTCCTGCACAGGTGCCTGGGTGCTGAAAAAGCAGCTGATGTGAGACTTGAGGTGCATGTTTTCTGTGCATGGGCCAAGCTGCTTCATYCGAGGCACTCAGCAAGGTTTGGGGGGCTCTGTGCCCCACTGGGGCCACACACTGAGCTAGTGAACACAGTGAGAGCAAGCAGGAGCATGCTGTGCCAAGCACATCGGGATCCTTCTGGATGAAAGAGGCTCTGCACCTCTAAAATATTCATTATCTGCCAGAGGAAAGCAGAATTTATGTTCTGTGTCTGGCGAGTACCCCGGGACTGCTGGCCCCCTTTTGCACAGCCTTCAAAGGATGCTCGCTTTGTTGGGTGCTTTGATCCTCCGAGCAGCCACCCCACAAAAATGCCAGTGGGACCAGGAGGGTTTTCCTGGGAGGGGCTGACCTGGTGTCCGGCCACGCCAAGCTGGCAGGAAGGATCCATAGGAGAATGTCCTGCTGCCGGGGTGTTGGCTGGGGGCAGCTGTCCACACCTGGCTCCTCTGTGCTCTCCTYAGATGCACATCGTCCACATGAATGTCAAGTACCAGACACTGGCAGAGGCCAAGGGGCATCCCAGTGGRCTCGCTGTCCTCGGCTTCTTCTTCCAGGTGTGTCAGCAGGGGCTCCCTATAAACTGGGTGCTGGTGGTGCAGCCGGGGGAGCATTGTGTGGGTGTCCTGAGGGAGTGGCAAGGGCCAGGAAGGCTGGGTCAAGGCCAGCAAGGCTGAGGAACCCACTGGCTGTGCAAGGGTGCAACCATTCCCTGCTGTCTGCAACAATGTGGGGCAGGGCTGGCTCTGCCTGCGGTTCCTTAGCAGGACAGGATGACCCAGCTCTGCCCTGCCCAGGCTCTCCTGAATTCAACCACTTATTGTCCCCATGCACAGGTCTCTGAGACCCCTAACACCAACTACAACACCATCGTGGCAGGRCTGAGGAACGTCTCCCGTGCTGGTGAGTTGCCTCCTCATGGGGGAAGGCTGCAAAGAGAAGATCCTGATGTGGGAGGGCAGGGGTTGAGCAGGGGACCTGCCAGTCTGCGGGTTCATCTGGTTGAAAGGAAACGGGAGTGGCCCTGCTGTCCCTACCGCATCCCTGGCAGGAGACAGGCTGAGTGCCCATGCCTTGCCCCACAGGGGACTCTGTGGATTTGGCCTCCACCTTCCGCCTGAGCACTCTGCTGCCCCGTGCCGGGCTCTCTGGCTACTACCGCTACCAGGGCTCCCTCACCACCCCCGACTGCAGCGAGGCCGTGGTCTGGACTGTGTTCGAGGAGCCAGTGGAGATTGGCCGGGAGCAGGTACTGCCACSTACAGCCCCACGCTCCAGCACCCAAAAGGCTGGATCCCCAGGGTGACCTCTCTCCTTGTCCTTTCTGACCCCTGAGCAAGAGCACAGGGAAAGTCATCTCTGTAATAATGCTCCCGGCAACTTGGCAATTAACTAATTTTATGAAGGTTAAGTAATGGAGAGGTGGCCACCTGCCAGTGGGGAGAAATCCCATCCAAAGTGCTGTCCCGCCCAGCCTTGGCATTCAGAAAGAGAAATGGGAGTGAGTCCATGGAAGCTCAGTAGAGGCTCTTGAGAGACGGACGGATGGATGGACGGATGGATGGATGGATGGATGGATGGATGGATGGATGGATGGATGGATGGATGGGTGGATGGATGGATGGATGGATGGATGAAGTTCTCCTCTGCTGCCCAAGCATCTTAGTAGATATGTTTTCCTGAGGGAGTCACAAGCCACCACTCTTTAAGTGCTCACTGTTGGCACCAAAACACAACCAGCTCCTTTAAAACTCAATACCTGACCCTTGTAAGGACCTGTGTCTGCGCTTACCAATGGGTGTGGCTTCAGGAGAGCAGTGGGGGTGGTGGCAGGACATCCCCAGTGTGGGGCCATGCCATGGGTCCTGTGCCCTTGGCAGCGGGGCAGTAGGAAGGGCTGGCAGTGGGCAGGGGCTCGGGGTGCCCGGCWATGCAGTTTCCCACCCTCCCTCTCTTCCTGTGCAGCTGAAGGCATTCATCAGCACCCTCCACTTCCCACTCGAGGGATCCACGCTCATAAAAATGATCAACAACTTCCGCCCGCCGCAGCCCCTCCGCAGCMGGAAGATCTTTGCCTCTCGGGGGGCCACAGCCAGTGGTGGATCCCTGCATGAGGGCTGCCACCATCTCCTCTGGCCCCTGCTCCTCCTGGCCCTGCTCAGCCTCTTCTTGCCAGCCCCGTAAGGCCTGGCTGTGCTGCAGTGCAGACAGAGGCAGTGCATCTTGTTCATGGGAAATGGGAAACAACAAAAAAAAAGCACATCGAAACCTTGGCTGGACGAAGATTTTTTGAACCTGGGTCTCTGCAGAGGAGGATATCTGCACGCCTGGAGCTGTCCTGGGATGCCCCTGTAGCTGGGTGGGGAGAGCTGCTGGGAGGGGGATGCTGTAGGGGCTGGAATAAAGCCAAGGTCCTTGCCAGTGGCTGTGGGTTGCTGCCTCTTTGTTGCTGGTTCTGTGTCCCCTCGACATGTGGGGCAGGTGGTGCTCAGCATGGCACTGTGGGGTCTGTGGGRAGGGTGGTTCAGGGTGGCATTCAGGGATGTACCCCGTCTGGTGGTGCAGGCAGGAGAGAGCCAAATCGCGGTCCTGGCTCAGGATCCATGTGGTCCCTGTGCTGCAGACGCTGCTCTGTCTCTTTRCTCAGGGCTGGGGCTGKCTGTTGGAGGGTGGGGGTGTCACCRGGAGCACAGCACCTGCAGTGCCCTTGTGCAGGACACGGGGATCTTTCCATGGAGTTCATTATTTCTGGCAGCAATATCTGCAGCTGCCGGGGCAGGGCTGTGCGAGTGGGGTGGCTCATAATTAATGCGCTGGAGCTCCAGGCATGTTCCCATCTTCTCCTGAATTACGAGTGAAGAGCAAAGGCCATTATCTGGGAGAAGAGCGGGGCAAGCTGAGGTTTTTCACCATTTTTGGAGGAAACCACGGCCAGTGCMTGGCTGCAGCCCTCAGCGCCAGGGGTGGGTGCAGCAGCCGTGGGTGCAGGGGTCCGGAGTGTCCCTCTGTGCCAGGATTCTGGGGTGAAGGCGCTGCTGCAAGAGGCTCTCGGTGGCTGAGGGGCCCCGCTGCAGAGCCCCCAATCCCACACCGGGGGGATGTGTCTCTGCGATCCTCC